GATAAAGCCTCGTGGATTATGCTGTACTTTAGAGGACAATGAAAGTATTTCCATCTACTTTACTGTATATGCCTACTGCATAACAGTTGAATGTCTTATCAATACTCGCTTTCAAATAATTTGTAACTCAAAACAGGGCGAGTACAAAACCCGGAATGCACTCAGGCGTGGAGAGTTTTTTGTTGATTTATTGTATATATTAGGCTGTATCTCCCTCAATACATCTTGGATTTTTATTCAGAGACTAGTCTAGGAAAGATAATTTTATACCCGTCACAATGCTATAAGTTATGCGTACCATCTTTTAATATTGAAAGTGAAAGCGGTGGCCGGAATGAACCACTATGAAATAAAAATGGCAATATTTTCAACTGTTTTCGTTCTAATAAATACTCATATCTCAAAAAGTACTGAACCGATTTTTGTTCGGAGACCACTCTGGTTAAGGGAATTTTGCACTTGTTAATATGATACCAATTGTTTAAACACATCTTTCATATTAATCTCTTCCATTATGGTGAACTTGAACAGAAGGTGAATTAACAGATTGAAAAGGGGTACAGCTCCTTTACTTATTCCTGTCTGTTCAAACTAGACAGTATTGTCTCTACCTCGTATATGTCTGGTACTATATACAAGTTCTAAGAAGACCACATCTCTACTTACAAAATTCACATATTACTGTTCTAAGGTTTATGTTTACTACCCTTTGGCTAACTTCATCTTACTCTGCATATAGGGAGTAAAGGTGGCTCCTAATTTAATTCATTACTGACAACTGTTAACAGTTGCTCGGGTTGTTACAGATACCCCACCCATTTCCGGTGTTGTATCGACTACTTTTCAATATAAACACGAACTATAACAACCTATTTCCTACTACGTATTTACATATCTACACATCCATAGCTACACCTGGTCTAGTTACGGAGGATACCAAACCTTTGGTCTACCAATAGCGACACGACTTGTCTGACAGTACCATTTTCTGTCTAGTATTGTCACCAGATTTGAACCAGATATTTTACACTTATCAGTATGACCCGTAAGTAATACATGAACTAGTTGATCAGACCTAACCATACCAAGCATAGTCATCGCAATCATCACTATCGTCATACCTATCAGAAGTTTGATTGAGGTAGCATTGTTGGTACTAGCTAAATAAGTCTTCTCATAAGATTCGTTTTTCAAGACTGAGACTTCATTCGAATCGTTCACGGAATGAGTATCTCCCTCAGTAGTGTTCATATTAACAGCATTACTTCCTTTACGAAGTTTAACTCTGATTGGATGTTCACTATCCACAATCTCATCTATCTTTGTACATTCCTGACCTATGTCCTTAGTTACTGTATCTACAGTACTAATTACCAACTCTGGCTGTTTACGGACAATTTGTGGTTCCATGTTCATTACAGATAGTACTACATTGTCACTATCACGTCTCTGTTGACTTAAATGAAAATTTCCCTGACAGGTCTCAAGTATTCCCTTTTCTAACAGGATTGTACTATTGTATTTCACCAAGAAATCCATTCCCAGCATCCCAGACAGGTTATCTACGGTAGCCACTACAAATATTTGTTCAAAAGTATTTGAGCCCATTTCGAAAACTAAAGGAATACACCCTTTAACTTCCACTTGGTTACCATCCGCTGTAGTGATATTTGTTTCAAATCTCTGTAGCGACAGTTCATCTAACCCCAATTTTGAAAACTCTGCATAGGAGAGAACAGAAACAGGAGACCCAGTATCTATCAGCATCATACATGTTACATTGTGCACCTGCACATCTGTATAAAGACAACCCATGTCTGAATATACATCATGTAATGTTTGTCGAACCTGACTTGACACCGTCTCTTGTTTTTCTGTTTTCCCTTGAGTCTTCTCTCTTTTCTCCAACCTTGTTTTATGCCTAGAAATACATAATGTGTGTATTGCATCTTGACCAGCTGGGATCTTGGCTGCGACTTCAGCTTTCCTTTGGTCTGACTCTACTTTTGCTACCCTTTCTTCCCTTTCCTTCAGAGTACTGAGCCTAGCACAGTCCCTTACGTAATGCCCTACTTCTTTACAAAAATAGCAAGCACCAGTTTTTGTAGTTGTCTCGATTGAACGTTTTCTATGCTCATTTCTACTCCTAGACAAATTACCTATCTGTTTATCGATAAGTTGGGTTATTGTCTCTTGTGTCAATTTCTCCTCATTCTCATATTCATTAGATTTAGACTTAGCGCTAACCGTTTGTAAAGTACAAACTTTCACTGAATCGCCATGAAGTTTAATGGAGGTGCAACCTAACACTGCTTCAAACTCAACAGCTGAGGAAATAGCTTCGTCTAATGTTTGTGGGTGACTAAACGTAACCTTCTTTCTCATTTCACAGTCCCTCAACCCATTGATAAACTGATCTACTACCTGGGTCTCCAGGTATGTATATGGTAGCTCTGGATAAGCTAACAAAGCTAGTCTCCTTAGAGTATACCCAAAGTCAGCAGCCGATTCACCTTTTCCCTGCTGTTTATTCCTAAACTCACACCTATGGGCAACACTACGTTCCTTAGGATTAAACCTTTGAGTCAGTGTATTCTTAATTGCCTGATAATTGGACAGCTGACCACTAGTTAGGCTACTAAGAAG